TGGGAAATCCCATGGAAAGTGGAGCCTGCTGGACTAGAGTCCATGGGATCACAAAGAGTCAGACATGACTTAGTAACTAAACAACAACAGTGAAGTTCAGGAGAGAGGTGAAATATGGAGAGTTTAGAATCATCGGAATATAGTTTATTAAAACCTTCAATATGGATAAGATCATCTAGCATGAATATAAAGCAAGAAGATAAAAGCAGGTGATGATAGAATCCCCTATGGTAGTTGGAGGAAGAGAAATATGCAATACGTGATATTAGAAATTAAAATTATTTTTTACAAATCTTGTCCCTTGGAAGTATCCCCATACAGATACGTGCGCACACACACACACACACACACACACACACACACACACACACACACACAATGTTTCGTGGTCAGAAATTTTGGAGATTCACAGTATACAGTACCATATTAAAAGCTAGTAACAGAAAAAAAAAAAAAAAGCTAGTAACATCCTTAGAGCTCATTTTTGGAAAATACAGTGCCTAAGATACTGGATATTTAGATAAATACTGGAAAGTCCTGCCTTTAGATGTGGAGAAGGTGACCTCAGCCCTGGGCTCTGTGCTTTTGAGGACCTTGTCACAGCTTTTGCCTGTTTCCTTTCCTATAGAATGAAACATCCATGAGACTTGGAGTGCATACCCACCAGGAGGCAGGTCTATCCCTACCTGCATATCTACAACACACTCTAGGTATCTGGAAACCCCAGAACTTGCTTCCCTGGTGGCCTTAGATCTGCAACCAGGTCCCATGTGGCCCCTTTACCTGGCCTATCCTCCTGATGGCAGAGCGTATCCAGCCTCTGGTGGTCCAGAAGTGACTGGGAAGTGTGGAATAAACTTTGAGGGGTGAGCTGACGTGTCCACACAAATATAAATGAGAACCCTCATGGTTCGGGCAGAGCTGGGGGTTGGAGGGGAAATCTGACAGGAACAAAAGACTAGGGTCAGCTCTCCTACCTGCCCCAAAGGGACTGAAAATCCCAAAGTCAAACTAGCCTTCCAGGCCATTGGGAATGTAGATTTATCAGATTGGAGGACAGCAGATATTTAATTTAGCAGTGTGTTAGCTTGATTTACAACTTGTAAATATTTAGACATATGGCATATGGACCTCCATATGTATTCTGGAGCTGCCCCACATAGAGCATGGGATGGTCTGAGAAGGAATGACAAGAGGATAGGACAACTGAGAGCCAATGAGGAAGGGAGGAGTGACACCTCTAGGAGATACACAGTTTTAAACAAACATGAGGAAAGCTTGGTTATTCAGGCAACAGCACAAGTGTTTGTTCCTAGGGCCATGGGTCCTTTCTTAGGTCCTTTAATCTTTATAACCTTTGAGTTTACATATGTCTGAACTGAGATGCAGAGAGATCAGCCCTGTGCCCAAGTTCACACAGTTTGTAGTTGCTGGTGATTATTGCTCAGGACTCCCAACTTCCAAACCAAGGTTATCTCTATCATACTTTGCTGCCTCAAAACTGGAGAACGCCAAGCCTTTTTTTTTCTTTTACAAAATGAAACATCCCACTGAGACAAATGTATATAGTCTTCAATTTATGGTACATTTGGAATTCATGATGAAGTCTTGGAAGGTTCTGTTATGTTGTCTTTAGGCATCATCTACTGAGGTCTATCCAGTTAGAAATAAGCAACCACGTTCCAATACTTCTTAGACACAATTCTCTCACCAAAAAAATTACACATTAAAACAGATCACCAGCCCAGGTTGGGTGCATGAGACAAGTGCTCGGGCCTGGTGCACTGGGAAGACCCAGAGGGATCGGGTGGAGAGGGAGGTGGGAGGGGGGACAGGGATGGGGGATACATGTAAATCCATGGCTAATTCATCTCAATGTATGACAAAAACCACTGCAATGATGTAAAGTAATTAGCCTCCAACTAATAAAAATAAATGAAAAAAAAAAAAAGAAAAAAAAAATAAATAAATAAAATTTCAACCAAAAAAAAAAAAAGAAAATCACTGCTTAATATAGATGTTATGGATCAACATTTGATAATTTGTTATTACAATCATTCAGTTTAATCCATATTTAGAAAAAAAGAAAACATATATATTATATATGTGTATCTTACCTAGACTAAATGCATTATATGCATGTGTATGTATATATATATATATATATATAATATATACACACATACATATATATGTGACATTAATATATAGACCTAAGAAAACCTAAAAATATACAGCGTAAAACTTAGTATTGGAACTTCACTGGTGGCGCAGTATAAAACTCTGTGCTTCCACTGCAGGGGACATGGGTTTGATCCCCGGTCTGGGAGCTGAGATCCTACATGTCATGTAGCAAGGCCAAAAACAAAACAACAACAACAAAAACTTAGTATTGTGTGTATATACCAGAAAATGATCATTTTAGTGTCATATTAAGTCAATGTCAATTAGCCATAAAAATGTTAATGATAAATTTTAAAATATGTTATATCAATAAAAAGCAACCTATTGAAAATAAGCTTATAGTTTTTAAAGAGTTTATGGAGTTCTGCCAAGAGAACACACTGGTCATAGCAAACTCCCTCTTCTAACAACACAAGAGAAGACTCTACACATGGACATCACCAGATGGTTGACACCGAAATCAGATTGGTTATATTCTTTACAGCCAAAGATGGAAAAGCTCTATACAGTCAGCAAAAACAGAGCAAAAACAAGACTGGGAGGAGACTGTGGCTTGGATCATGAACTCCTTATTGCCAAATTCAGACCAAAACTGAAGAAAATGGAGAAAACCACTAGACCATTCAGGTATGACCTAAATCAAACCCCTTATGACTATATACAGTGTAAGTAAGAAATAGATTTAAGGTACTATATCTGATAGACAGAGTGCCTGATGAACTATGGACGGATGTTTGTGACATTGTACAGGAGACAGGAATCAAGACCATCCCCAAGAAAAAGAAACACAAAAAAGCAAAATGGCTGTCTAAGGAGGCCTTACAAATAGCTGTGAAAAGAAGGGAAGTGAAAAGCAAAGGAGAAAAGGAAAGATATTCCCACTTGAATGCAGAGTTCCAAAGAATAGCAAGGAGAGATAAGAAAGCCTTCTCCAGTGATCAATGCAAAGAAATAGAGGAAAATAATAGAATGGGAAAGACTAGAGATCTCTCCAAGAAAATTAGAGATACGAAGGGAACATTTCATGCAAAGATGGGCTCAATAAAGGACAGCAATGGTAGGGACCTAACAGAAGCAGAAGATATTAAGAGGTGGCAAGAATACACAGAAGAACTGTACAAAAAAGGTCTTCACAACCCAGATAATCACAATGATATGTTCACTCATCTAGAGCCAGACATACTGGAATGTGAAGTCAAGGGGGCCTTAGGAAGCATCACTATGAATAAAGCTAGTGGAGGTGATAGAATTCCGGTTGAGCTATTTCAAATCCTGAAAGATAATGCTGTGAAAGTGCTGCACTCAAGATGCGAGCAAATTTGGAAAACTCAGCAGTGGCCACAGTACTGGAAAATGTCAGTTTTCATTCCAATCACAAAGAAAGACAGTGGCAAAGAATGCTCACACTACCGCACAATTGCACTCATCTCACATACTAGTAAAGTAATGCTCAAAATTCTCCAAGCCAGGCTTCAGCAATACATGAACCATGAACTTCCAGATGTTCAAGCTGGTACATCTGCTGAGGAAAAGGCAGAGGAACCAGAGATCAAATTGCCAACATCTGCTGGATCATCGAAAAAGCAAGAGAGTTCTGGAAAAACATCTATTTCTGCTTTATTGACTATGCCAAAGCCTTTGACTGTGTGGATCACAATAAACTGTGGAAAATTTTGAAAGAGATAGGAATACCAGACCACTTGATCTGCCTCTCGAGAAACCTGTATGCAGGTCAGGAAGCAACAGTTAGAACTGGACATGAAACAACAGACTGGTTCCAAATAGGAAAAGGAGTACATCAAGGCTGTTTATTGTCACCCTGCTTATTTAACTTATATGCAGAGTACATCATGAGAAACGCTAGACTAGAGGAAGCACAAGCTGGAATCAAGATAGCCTGGAGAAATATCAATAACCTCAGATATGCAGATGACACCACCCTTATGGCAGAAATTGAAGAGGAACTAAAGAGCCTCTTGATAAAAGTGAAAGAAGAGAGTGAAAAAGTTGGCTTAAAGCTCAACATTCAGAAAACTAAGATCATGGCATCTGGTCCCATCACTTCATGGCAAATAGATGGAGAAACAGTGGAAGCAGTGGCTGACTTTATTTTTCTGGGCTCCAATATCACTGCAGGTGGTGATTACAGCCACGAAATTAAAAGATGGTTACTCCTTGGAAGGAAAGTTATGACCAACCTAGACTGCATATTGAAAAGCAGAGACATTACTTTGTCAACAAAGGTCCGTCTAGTCAAGGCTATGGTTTTTCCAGTGATCATGTATGGATGTGAGAGTTGGACTACAAAGAAAGCTGAGCACCGAAAAATGGATGCTTTTGAACTGTGGTGCTGGAGAGGACTCTCGAGACTCCCTTGGACTGCAAGGAGATCCAACCAGTCCATCCTAAAGGAAATCAGTTCTAAATATTCATTGGAAAGACTGATGTTGAAGCTGAAACTCCAATACTTTGACCACCTCATGCGAAGAGCTGACTCACTTGAAAAGACCCTGATGCTGGGAAAGATTGAGGGCAGGAGAAGAAGGGGAAAACAGAGGATGAGACGGTTGGATGGCATCACTGACTCAATGGACATAGGTTTGGGTGAACTCCATGGACAAGGAGGCCTGGCATGCTGTGGTTCATGGGGTTGCAAAGAGCTGGACATGACTGAGTGACTGAACTGAACTGAAAGAGTTTATAAACCATTTTTCAGGCTATATTGGCCTTGTTCTCCGCCTTTAGGTTTTGCTGTTTGACGACGCCTCCCTGCTCACTTCAGCCTCTGGCCTTCTATCTCTTTGAGACATAATACCATGCCTTCAATTAAGCTGCAGAGTTCTGATGGAGAGATATTCGAAGTTGATGTTGAAATTGCAAAACAGTCTGTGACCATCAAGACTATGTTGGAAGATTTAGGAATGGATGATGAAGGAGATGATGATCCAGTCCCCTTGCCAAATGTTAATGCAGCAATATTGAAAAAGGTCATTCAGTGGTGCACTCACCACAAGGATGATCCTTCTCCTCCCGAGGATGATGAGAACAAAGAAAAACGAACAGATGATATACCTGTTTGGGATCAAGAATTTCTGAAAGTTGACCAAGGGACACTCTTTGAGCTTATATTGGCAGCAAACTACTTAGACATCAAAGGTTTGCTTGATGTTACCTGAAAGACTGTTGCTAATATGATCAAGGGGAAAACTCCTGAGGAGATTCGAAAGACATTCAATATCAAAAATGATTTTACTGAGGAAGAGGAAGCCCAGGTACCCAAAGAGAACCAGTGGTGTGAGGAGAAGTGAAATTTCGTATCTAACGCTGTAACACTGTAAGGATTATTCCAAATAGTAGTTGCACTGCTTTGTTTATAATTGTTAATATTAGAAAAACAGTCAACAAATGCAGCAGTCAATTGTATTAGCAGAATGTTGTCCTCATTGCATGTGTAGTTTCAGTACAGTTCCCAAACTTATGGCCCAGTTTCTTCTAGTATGATTGAAAGTTTCTTTTCTTTGCTCTGAATAAAATTGAACTGTGGGTTCCCTAAAAAAAAAAAAATAAATAAACCATTTTTCAGAAAACAAAATGCCTTTGATGGAGTTGATTCTTGAATAAATCTGTGATGTGGTTGGATTGGAGAATGAGACCCCTTATCTACTTGGTTCCACCCAGATGATTCAAAAAAGAAGTTTCCAGAAGTTTAACATTTGACCCAGATATTCACTTGTCCTTCTCCAATACCAATTCATTCCTTTCACTGCCTCTGCAGAATTAGAAAAACAAACATCATCTCTCTTAGATGTCCCTTGCATGCACTGGGCAGACAGGCTCGAAACTGTCACAGATTATTGAGGATCACAGAAGCAGAAACCCAATGTACTTGAACTTACCTGGGGTCCCAGATCCCCTGGGAAAGATCTTGAATTCTGATCATATTTGAGTTCAATCTTAGACTGAGGTATGTGAAACTGCCCCTTTCCCCTCGAGGGAGAAAAAAATCAGACCTTAGAAGTAAACAGAATATTGTTGACGCCCATACCTGATGCCAGAGAGTCTCGGTTTGTGTGCAGCCACCAATGACCCAGCACCCACATCCCGGAACTCCTGAGTGATGGGGTGAAAGGACTGTGCCTTTGGGACCCAAGTCCCTCTGCGGTGGGAGACTGCAGGGAAAGACCCCATCATGCAGAGAGTGAGAATCACCAGTTCCAGAGGAGACAGACAGCAGTGACACCATGGAGTAAGGAGCAAGGTGACCGCAAGAAGGATGTAGAGTGACCACCTCTGGCGTTGGAGGATCTCACATCTATCTCATGGGACTTGGAGGGCAAAAACTTGTATAACACCAACAAGTGATGCAGAGGACACCTGACTTACACACAGAACTCCTAAGAACTTCCGAGAGAGAATTAAGGGAGGCAGGGGAAGTCAGTCTCTATCTATTATCAGTAGGACAGCACAGAGCATCACGATGCGGGCATCTACTTCAAATAGGATCATAGATGCACTAACTGCAAAAGCCAGGAACACACATGACACATATATATGTATTATGTAATACATATTACATAATATATATAAATGCATATTGCATAACATTCATAGTGTTATGCTACATCTTTGACATTTGATCTCATTACTCAAATGGAACCTGGAATGTCAGGTCCATGCATCAAGGTAAATTGGAAGTCGTCAAATACAGGAGATGGCAAGAGTGAATATCAACATCTTAGGAATCAGTGAACTAAAATGGACTGGAATGGGTGAATTTAATTCAGATGACCATTATACCTACTACTGGGGGCAAGAGTCCCTTAGAAGAAAAGGAGTAGCCATCATAGTCAACAAAAGAGTCCAAAATGCAGGGCTTGGGGGCAATATCAAAAGCGACAGAATGCTCTCTGTTCATTTCCAAGGCAAACCATTCATTATTACAGTAATCCAAGTCTGTGCCCCAAACACTAATGCCAAAGAAAGAGAAGTCGAATGGTCCTATGAAGACCTACAAGACCTTCTAGAACTACCACCAAAAAAAGACATCCTTTTCATCATAGGGAGTTAGAATGCAAAAGTAGGAAGTCAAGAGATACCTGGAATAACAGGTAAGCTTGGCCTTGGAGTACAGAATGAAGCAGGGCAAAGGCTAACAGAGTGTTGCCAAGAGGACACACTGGTCATAGCAAGCACTCTCTTCCAACAACACAAGAGACGACTCTACACATGTACGTCATCAGATGATCAATACCAAAATAAGATTGATTATATTCTTTATGGTTGAAAATGGAGGAGCTCAATACCATCAGCAAAAGCAAGATCAGGAGCTGACTGTGGCTCAGATCATGAACTCCTTATTGCAAAATTCAGGCTTAAATTGAAGAGTGGTTCTGAAGGAGAACCACTAGACCATTCAGGTATGACCTAAATCAAATCCCTTACAATTATACAGTGGAAGTGACAAATAGATTCAAGGGATTAGATCTGATAGACAGAGTGCCTGAAGAACTATGGATGGAGGTTCGTGACATTGTACCAGAGGTGGTAATCAAAACCATCCCCAAGGAAAGTAAATGCAAAAAGGCAAAATGATTGTCTGAAGAGACCTTACAAATAGCTAAGAAGAGAAATGAAAGGCAAAGGAGAAAAGAAAAGATACATCAATCTGAATGCAAAGTTCCAAAGAACAGCAAGGAGAGATAAGAAAGGCTTCCTCTGTGATCAATGCAAAGAAATAAAGGAAAACAATAAATGAAAAAGACAAGAGATCTCTTCAAGAAAATTAGAGATACCAAGGGAACATTTCATTCAAAGATGGGCACAATAAAGGACAGAAACAGCATGGACCTAACAGAAGCAGAAGATATTAAGAAGAGGTGGCAAGAATACATGGAAGAACTATACAAAAAAGACCTCAATGACCCAGACAGCCATGATGGTGTGATCACTCACCTAGAGCCAAACATCTTGGCATGCAAAATCAAGTGGCCATAAGGAAGCATCACAATGAATATAGCTAGTGGAGGTGATGGAATTCCAGCTGAGCTATTTAAAATCCTAAAAGATGATGCTGTGAAAGTTCTGCACTCAATATGCCAGCAAATTTGGAAAACTCAGCAGTGGTCACAGAACTGGAAAAGGTCAGTTTTCATTCCAATCCCAAAGAAAGGCAGTGCCAAAGAATATTCAAACTACAGCACAATTGCACTCCTTTCACATACTAGCAAAGTAATGTTCAAAATCCTACAAGCCAGGCTTCAACAGTACATGAACTGAGAACTTCCAAATGTTCAAGTTGAATTTAGAAAAGACAGAGGAACAAGAGATCAAATTGTCAGCATCCATTGGATCATAGAAAAAGCAAGAGAATTCCAGAAAAATATCTTCTTCTGCTTCATTGACTACGCTAAAGCCTTTGACTATGTAGATCACACCAAACTGTGGAAAATTCTTAAAGAGATGGGAATACCAGAACACCTTACCTGCTTCCTGAGAAACCCATATTCTTGTCAAGAAGCAACAGTTAGAATGGACATGGAACAACAGACTGGTTCCAAATCGGGAAAGGAATGTGTCAAGGCCATACATAGTCACCCTGCTTATTTAACTTATATGCAAAGTACATCATGTGAAATGCTGGGTTGGATGAAGCACAATCTAAATAAAGATTGCCAAGAGAAATATCAATAGCCTCAGATATGCAGATGACACCATCCATATGGCAGAAAGCAAAGAAGAACTAAAGAGCCTCTTGATGAAAGTGAAAGGGCAGAGTGAAAAAGCTGGCTTAAAACTCAACATTCAAAAAACCAAGATCATGGCATCCAGTCCCATCGCTTCATGGCAACTAGATGGAGAAACAATGGAAACAGTGATAGACTTTATTTTCTTGGACTCTAAAATCAATGCAGCTGGTGACTGCAGCCATGAAATTAAAAGATGCTTGCTCCTTGGAAGAAAAGCTATGACCAACCTAGACAGCATGTTAAAAAGCAGAGACATTGCTTTACTGGTAAATGTCCATGTAGTCAAAGCTACGGTTTTCCAGTAGTCATGTATGGATGTGAGAGTTGGACCATTAAGTAGGCTGAATGCTGAAGAATTGATGCTTTTGAACTGTGGTGTTGGAGAAGACCCTTGAGAGTTCCTTGGACTGCAAGAAGGTCCAACCAGTCAATCCTAAAGGAAATCAGTCCTGAATATTCATTGGAAGGACTGATACTGAAGCTGAAACTCCAATACTTTGGCCAGTGATGTGAAGAGTCGACTCATTGGAAAAGACCTTGATGCTGGGAAAGACTGAAGGCAGAAGGAGAAGGGGACAACAGAGGACGAGATGGTTGGATAGCATTACTGATTCAAAGGACATGAGTCTGAGCAAGCTCTGGAAGATGGTGAAGGACGGAAAAGCCTAGTGTGCTGCAGTCCATGTGGTCGCAAGTAGTCAGACATGACTGAGTGACTGAATAACAACAAAAAGAGGATTAATTCTTCAACTGACCTATCAACAGTCGAATGGATAAAGATGTGGCAGTCATGAAGAATGAAGTCATGATGAAGAATGAAATTCTGCCGTTTGTGGCAATGTGGATGGACTTGGAGGGCATTGTGTTATGTGAAATAAGTCAGATAGAAAGAACAAATGCTATATGATATTGTTTATATGTGGATATCATTTATATGTACATCCAACAAGTGAATACAGCAGGAAAGAAGCAGACTCACAGATATAGGGAACAGACTAGTGGTTACCAGAAGAGAGGGAAGGAGTAAGGGGCAATAAAGGAGTAGAGAAAAAGAAAGGGTTATTATGGGACTATATGAAATCATGCGTGTGAAACTTTTGAGGATTCTAAAGTACTAGAGAATTTAAAGAATCTTTTATTCAATAAAAAAATTTTTTAAGAGAAAATACTTCCAGATTTCATTACAGCAAAACACACCACACTAAATGGTAAGAATAGGGGCAGCTTCATGGGCTTGTGATCTGTGTCCAGAAGCCACACCTAACAGAGCCCTGTGACTGATTTAAGAGATCTCTGCTCTCACCATCTTAAAATGTGTAATAATTTTTGAGCAAAGAGGCCCCATGTTTTCATGTTACATCAAGCCCTGCAAATTAGGCAGCCAGTCAGAAAAGTTGCTCTGCTCTGTGCAGAGATGGTGTGTTGCCTGTGTAAATGGGTAAAGAGTTCATGAGTGCTGCTGCTGCTGGTAAGTCACTGCAGGGTGTAGGTTGCCAATAAACAGACAGACCCCAAATTTTAGTATCATATGTGTTTAGTTGCTTATTCGTGACTGACTGTGA